AATCAGTAGGTGGGCTCAGTTGAAGGCATGACCTTGGGGGCTTTTCAGAACCCTGGTCCCTTCCTGTCTATCTCTTCCCAGAAGCCTCAAAGCAAGCAGCTTTCCTTTGCCACCCTCTCTGCCATGGCATTTCTAACCGGCAGCCAGCCAGCCATAGAGCAATATCTATCAATCTTTGAGCTACAATACGCCTCTCCTTTACATGGTGTCTTTGTACCAGAGATGGGCAACTGACCAGCACCCCATGGCTTGGCGACATCAGGGAGGTCCAGTGCTACTTACTACAAAACTTCTTGATATCTACAAACTTTTGCTAATTTATATCCAAACAGAACATAAACAATGACCATCTGTATATTCCAGAGGAGAAAGAAGAAAGTCAGGTGTTTCTCAAAGTGATGCATAGTGTGCCTTCTCCCAGTTTCCTGCCCTTATGAGAAGTTCATGCTGCTGCTGGTTGCATGGCACCAGCTGTGCAGACCTATGGTTGGCTGTTCCTAGGCCCAGCCCTGGGGAAGTGGCCCTGTGAAGAAAGGCAGATGTCCACCTACACACTGTGCACCATTCATTAGCTAATGAAATGCATCCACATCCTCATGGTCACCAGGGCTATCAATGACCACCACATAGGGCCATTTCTGATCTGGCCTCTTACAGAAAAAGTTTGTAAAGTTCCTGTACTGAACAGCCACCTGAGTCCAAATATTCTTAGTTCAAAAGCAACTACAGTGCTAGATGTTAGATAAAGCAAGACAGAGAAACTCAGGAAGACATACAAAGAATCTTACTAGCTCATGCTTGTAATCCAGGATCCTGGGAGGCTGAGGCAGGATGATGTTCAAGCCCAATCTGGGCACCTTAGTGAGACAGTGAGCTGGGATGTGTAGTCCAGTGGCAAAGCAAGCATGGATTCAGTCCCCCACAGAGAACCTTACTAAACATTTCACAAAGTTTTATGAATGTATATGTGTTAAGAGACAGACAGACAGAGACAGAGACAGAAAATGAACTATCACCTTAGAGAAGATGTGTCTACAAAATTAACAACGCCCCTCCCTGAGAGCCACTAACAGACCTCCTGCTGACACTAACCCTCCTACAAGTACAGGCAAAGACCAAATTGCTTCCCCACCACTGTCTACTGTTGCTCTTCACTGCCTCACTCTCTGTGGTTCTGACATAACTGGGTCCTCAAGCCCTCCCTTCTTTTGGCGGGGTTGGCCAGGGTTCTTACAGTCCTTTTCAGCTGTCCACTGTTCCCTGTCAAGGACTAGAGGTCTCTCCCTCATAACTGCAGACTGAATGCAGGGCTGTCACGAGTGCTACCTATGTTTGTCTCTGTCTTTCTCAGCCCTGGTTGAACGTTTGCCTTCATATAGATAGATGCAAGCAATGCTGGAGTATCTCAGTCAACTCTGAATGTTATGATTTTTTACTGCTTCCAGGGTGAGCGGCTCATGTATGACTCTTCAGAGTTTCTGGCTAGAAAAGACATCAGGGCAGAGTGCTAGCTGACAAGCCATCTAAAATTCAAATGTCCTCTTCAACAAAGGCTTGTCTTTCTAGGTCAGCACAGACAATAAAAGTAGAACTGAGTCCTCTGATCCACTCAAAGTTAGGGGTTTCACCTTAACTGGATGCCAATGTTCATTCTTCACCCCCACAGACACACATTACAGTCTTGGTCCACCAGAAAGGCTCCATGAACCACACAGCTCCAAGCACCAGATGCTTCCTATAGCTGTGTCCACATGGGAGCCTGGAAACACCGTCTTGTATACCACAGACCTATGTTTTGGGGAGACTGTGGCACCACTAGCCTGAAGCTTTGGCAGAAGCCAAGAATCTTGGAGTCTTGCTCCTTTACCTGTTAAACACACAAGATGGTCAGATACTCCCTAGGCTTACTTCTCTGCTGAGTGTATCATTAAATCATGACTTAAATACACCTATTTATTGTCAAGCTTCTCCAGGCATCATATGTTAGAAATAAGGGCTTACATCCTCAAAAGTGAGCTCAGTACAGATCTTCTGAGATCTGGCCATGTGGACAAAGCTGAGAGCCCAGTGCTGCGGGACTCACAGAGTATCAAGTCCTTCCTGCCTATCTCACTTGTTCTGACCCTCATGACAATTTTTCAGGCATTTGCTCATTATACCTCTCATACATTACATCCCTTCCTATCACTGTGATATCATATTGGGCTGGCAGCTTTATTTGGAGATACTTTTGTTCCTTGAGCCAAGAAATACAGATAGCCAAGAATGAGGTCATTCTATCCCCAAACTGCTACAGACTTCCCCGCAGGCAGCTGAGCAATGTAATTTGATCAAGGTTAAGTACAATCCACTCTTCATCTTTTAACCTAAGTTTAAGTTCTTCCAGCTTTCTATTTTAATCCAAGATTAATGGTTCTTGCTCATTTTACAAATGTCTACCAGTTGCCCTGCAGTCAATTCTCATTTATTCGCCTGTGGCTTATCTAAAACATCAGGCTTGCTCGTCCTTCTGCCTCTAGCACCAAGCTCCAGGCCAGCTCCTTTAATTCTGTGCCAAAGAAATACAAACTCAATCTAATATTAGCCTAATGAGAAAAGGCTATCCACTGCCAAAGATGCACATAATGCCTCCCAAAGCCAAGTGGAGGCAATTACTCACTGTTTTAGACGCTGGCATTATTTCCCCTTTATATAATATGGCAATCAAGATTTGCTGGGTTTCTCTGTAAGGAATAAAGAATACATGCAGTGTTTTAACCTCTTCTTTTGCCTAGATGGCCAAATTCTGAGTGTAACAGACTATATTTTCTCTCCAAATAAACAGATTGTTTGTTCATTTAATGTCATGGGAATGAAACATCCTGGATTCAGAGTTGTTAGATTTCAGTTCCATCCTCCTGCAGTGATGAGCCAGAAACCAAATTGGGGGGAGTCATTTCAATTCTTGGGTTTCTCAGCTATAAAATGGAGATGCAGATTTTAGTTATGAAAGGAATGAGGCAGAAATACAAATGTGTGGGACATTCAAAGGGCTCTGACTCCTGAACTAGGGTCATGGCATGGACGCAAGCCATCAGCAGCTTCACAAAAACTTTATTTGAAAAAGCATAAAAATGGGGTGACATGGAGTTTCCTTGTTCTGGAAATTGAGATCTCAATTTTCCAATGCCATGTTTAGGTTACTTTGGATGATACATCCCAGAATTCCCAAGTGGGAAACAGCCCAGATACTGCCTGCTGATGCACTAATTTATTCTATAGCCAGAGTTGCCATGGAAACCCAGATTCCAGCCATCAGAGCATTTAGGACACCAATTCCAAAACAGACTCCTGATCATTCTGACAACTTCTGCTTTTTATGATTGAAGCACTTGTCCAGCCAAGTCCAAGGACAAGAGTCAGAGAAAATGTCAACACAACTTTCATCTTTCATCTTATTCCCACACCCAAAGAACTCTGGGGGGTTAGGTAGGCACTGTCCAAAGAACTTTCTGCCATGACATTCATGTTCATCCTATCCCAAACATGTCCTAGATATATATGGTGACTCCATGCCTAAAATGTGCCTGGCACTTTCATAGAAATGATTTTTAAATTTTATTCAACTTCAATCAAATTAAATAGCTCCATTTGGCCAAAGGCTACCACACTGGCCAATGTCAGTACAAGGTCAGTTCATGCTTTTCACCTTGGCATTTGAATCCCGTACAACTAGGTCCAGCCAAGGACCCTACACTCAATTTCCAAACATAAATGCTGATTCCAAGGTACTATCTCTCCTGCCACACCTTGGCCAAGATATCTGTTCAGGTCTCACTGCTAGGATGCCTTCTTTCTTGGTGGAAGAATGAATGTGTATGAATGCACATACACACATATGACTTTTACCCATACTGCATAGCACAGCTCAGGTTCTGAATGATGTGCTGAAACCCATGCTTGAAGTCTCATCCTTTGCTCCCAAAGAAGCCAGAACAAGTGACCTGGGGGCCGGGTTGTCTGGAGAGGACTTGTCCCACAGGGTCACTTTTCTCAGAAATTTTTCTGTGGAACTACACCTGGTCTGCAAGACCTATGACTTGAGCTTGGGCCCAGAAGTCTAGAACGGTACAAGCGACTGGTGGGAAGAATGCTGAACCTTCTCTGTTGTCAGAGATCCATGCCCACACTCGTGGCAGCTGCACAGGTCCCATGGTGGTGAAGGGGCCAAAGAAGTTGTACCCTTGGATTACATCTGGGCTCCCATGAGATAAAAACGCCATCTCTACTGTATCTCTGGCCTTGTACTGACCTGTGAAGTTAAGCAAGCATAGTTTCTGCATCTTGAACTTCTAATCACAGCTGCTAGAAGCACCATGTACTCTCTGTACAGCTTCCGAAGCACTGATGGCATTCAGCACTGAGAGTGGTTTATCTTTTGCAGATTCACATTTCAACTGTATTCATTCTTTTCAAATAGGCTCAAGGCTGCCCAGTAATAAATCTGAAAAAAACCTGGGCACTCTACTGGTTTTGCTTTGGTCATAAGAGCTATGGGCCATACCTGGCAGATAACATCCTTCCTTCTGAGTTTCTGATGAAGTGGAGATGAGTGGTCTCTGAATCAAAATACTAGGAAATATATTTATATTTTAAAATTCATAGAAAGCCAACTTGAAATCAAGGAATGGAAAGCCCTAGGTATTAGAAAAACCACAGAAGAGGGGTGGCATAGAACTCACTATGGTTGACGGAATCTGAAACAGAAGAAGTGCTGAAGCTGGACATAGCTGCAATCAAAGTGGCTGAGCCCAAGAACCAAAGCGACCCAGACCCAGGTTGATCTTCATGACCAGGTAAAAGCAAACAATAGCAAATTGAAACACTAATGCAACACCTGATCAGAGCCACTGAGTCCTTGAGTTCAAGCCAAGACAAATAGCAAAGTACCTCATCAAGTGATGGCCACAGAGTGGAAAAAAGACTCAACAGCAGCTCTCTACTCTGGCAAATGAACTTACCTGCAATGATGAGAAGCTACAGGAAGAAATTCTACACCCTGGAAGGCACGACACCTACCCAACAAACAGCAAAAGCCATAACTGAGCTAATACAATAAATAGGGAAATCTGAAAAAGGACTTCAATTAGATAGAATTGAAAGAATGCAGATTTAAAAAAAAAAATACAAATAAAATAAATGCTGAAAGTGAAAGCTTCAGATAAAAACTAGTGCTGCAAGTATGAAGTCACAGATACACAGAAGGACATTTTTACACCCACGGGAACATAACACTGGTACCCTGCCCCTGCTGCCTTCCCCACTTAAGATACTGTCCCATTCATTTCTCAGACACGTACATCCAGGCACCCTGCACTCTAAGAAGAAAAACCTGTTCTACTGCATGGGTATGTGCCATTTCTTGAGTCACTATCTTATGGCTCAAGGGCTATTTTCAAAGTATCCTTATTAAAATCAGTGTTATGGTAACCACTCCTATGTAGCCATCTTTGTATATTTGATCATTTCCTTAAGATAACTTCTTTACAGGGATTTACTGACCCCAAAGTATACACATTTAAAATTTTAATAACTAGTAGCAAACTATTCTCCAGAAAAGCTGCATCAATTTACATTACTGAATGGTTTCAACTGCATGCACTTCTAGCCAGAGGTTCTATTGATAAGTTTAGAGTAGATCAAGCTAGCAGAGATTCAATTACCTACACAAGAAAAAAAAATGGCCCAATTGCTCTGGTCTTTTAACTACAACAGAAGAAAAAGTGTAAGTGTGCTAGTGCAGTACAAAGAAAGTGCACATTTTCTGGGGGACATAAGCTGCAGGGTGCAGGGCCCTGCAGTTATCACCAGGGGGTACTTCTGTCTGCCCTATCAACAACTTTGGTCCTCTAGTCCTTTCTGAAAAAGTGGGCAAATACTTTCTCTAAGCTTTACCGAAGGCTCTGGTCTGCTCAACGCTGAGCATGATGCTAATGTGACAACCTCCATACTCTCCTTACTGTTGTCTGGGGCTTTACTTTTGATGGTGGGGACAAACTTGATCTGGTTTCCAACCTGCAGTCTATTCCCGAGGAAAGCCGCACATAGGCTTGGACATTATCAGTGGTGGACAGCATCAGGAAGGCAACTGCAATCAGAATTTTCCTATGTAACCATATTCAAAATAATCCAATTTGTTACAAAAAGATACAATTCAAAAATGTTCAAGTAGAATTAAAATCAGATTAATATGAATAATTCATTTGCTTATTTTCTCACTCTGATGTTTAATATTTCAGCATCCTTTGGGAAAGATCTGACTCAGGCAAACTCTATCTTCCTAGTAAAAGAAGACCTGGAGGCATCTCTTTCCTGGCTCTTTCAAATGCCTAGGTAGAACACAGGTTGACCAAGTTTTGATGTCACACCATGTTCCACTGATTTCCAACTATGCTCCCAAACGAAAAGTGACCAGTCACCAGCCAGTTTCATCCACAGCATGATCTCTCTCCACTAAGCTGTACAAAGGACCTGGAGTACCTTCCTTGCTAATTCTCCATGCAGACACACAGCGAACTGTTCACAGGTTCTTAATTAAGCTAAAACAGTGAAGCAATAATGGTGATTAGTCAAAACTGCAGCTAAAGCAAAAAGGATTCACATTCTAATTTACAAGCCATTATTTGGGGAAGAAGATGAATCAATTGTACAACAGCAAAGTGATCTCCCGAATTAAGGTTTTCAATGGGTGCTTGCACTTGCTTGCAGAGGATCTCATACAATTATTTACTCAACAAACATCTGAAGGGGAATTCTTTTATAGAGAAACACAGTGAGAAACAAACAGCCATCTGAAGGTTAACTCTCTCAAATTCTAACAGACAAACTAAAATGGACATCTTTACTATCACGCACAAGATCCTCATTGATTTCTGAGAAAAATCCTTGAGTTCCAGTTCTATCCTAGCTCCTAAAAAGCAGCTATCCTCTGCAAAAAAATCACTGCCATCAGAAAGCCCCACTTGGGTTATCTTTACTAAAATGTATGCTTAATGGCACCTACACTAGGCTAATAATTAAAAAGGAATAAGTATCCTATAATAAAATAAAGCAGTTTTATCTTCCATTATCTAAGGCCCTGTGTATTATTGTCCTCCTCTTAGGCTGGTTAGAGGGACATAATAAGCCAGTAAATCAAGAATTTTCCAAACAGTACCAAGTATAGACAGCACAAGGGGTCAATTATTATAATTAACAGTATCTATCAGCAGACACACCTCACACTCAAGGTTTGACAAAGGGTGTGCTTCCTCAAGCACAAAATTATGGGACCTGCTTAGCCTGAATGGGGAGAGGGATATGATCTTTTTATAACTTGCATTCTATAGATGAAGATCATGCCACTCAGACAGTTACAGGACTGGCCTGACACTGTGAAGGGTTACCTCCAACTAGGGAGATAAGCCCTTTAGCTTTATGCCTATATCCTACGGTTCAGAGGCACATGATGAGTCTGGCACACAAATGTGTCTCATTCTCATCCAAAGGGAAGGCAGCTCATATTTTCACCTATTCTTAATTACCATGAGGATGATCCAGCAGGAGAGCACAGTCAGCTCCCTGTGGCTGGACCACAACACAGCGCCACCTCCGCCTTGACTAACAGGTTCATCACCCACCTTCACCGTCTCCGCCTCGCCCTGCAGTCGCCTGGGGGTTCCCTTTTGATCTGGCACCTTCTGGAAATTTTTATTCTTAATGGATTGAGAGTCCACAACTTCGCCTTCAATTTGTAGTTGAATTCCTTCAGCATGGGCAGGGTGGTCGATGCCCCGTGGACTCAGACCGCAGTGGAGAGCTGGGAGAGAGGAACACACAGAACTCAGAAAGCACAAACAAGAAGGAAGTCATTTGGTGACAGAAAGCACCTCAGCAGGCCTACGTGGAAGAACATGGCCCCTGTAAATGAAGAAGGAATGCAGCCACCGGAGACAGGCTGGCCAGCGGAGACAGGGGAGTGGGAAGCACTCGGTCTGGGGAAAGAGCTACAAGCACATCCAGGAAGTTATTCGACTCTGAGCAAGTCATTCATCTCTAGACAAGCACACCTCATCGAGCAGCTCTGTTCCTGCCTCCACACATTCCATTATTGCAGGCCCCACAGTTTAATTTAGCCCTATTCGCTCCATGACACTCTGCATAGCATCCATCCCTCAATAGCATCCACTTGCCCCACCACCTTGCAACCATCCAACCAGTGCTCCCTGAACATACCTATGCCTGTGCACTTCTGGGACAGACGCTGCCCTCAGAGCACTCACAAGCTAACAGAAAAGGCCAAAAAAGGAACAGTGATTTAAATCAGTTATCAGTGAGGCAGGGATGAGAAGGAAAACCAGAGTGGAAGATGCAGGAGTCAATGCCAGTGCTTCGATATTGCTGCCTTACTTTCACCACATACTCTAACATGAGTAGCCTACACATAATGTTTACAGTGCAAGTGAGACATGGTGTGTATGCCTGTGAGGCCAGCCCTTTGGGTGGCTGAAGCAGGAGGACTGACAGCTGGAGCCCATCCTGGACAACTCAGTGACTTAATGATACCTGTCTCAAATAAAATTAGTTAGGGACAGATGAGCAATAACACCCCCAGTACTGTCAAAACAAAAAATCTAAATACTTTTCTGGCATATTTATTTGCCAAACATGTACTGAGGCCCACCTATGTACCAGGTACTATCAAAGAAGGAGCAGGGACTGTTACATGTCACACCTACGCAAGCCCTGTGAACCCTGAGTGTGTGTATACCTGAGCATGCACACACAGGAGATGTACGTGTTCTGAGTCTCTGACGGTGAACTGTCTCACACTAGACCTCCATTCCTTCCAATTTAAACTCCCATTCTCAACCCCTTCATCTGGACCCAGAATACAAGGTCAGCTACTGAACTGCTCCCCGCTCTCTCTCAGGAGCCCCTCACTGGGCATTAGCTTCCCCCTGCAGCACCCTATCCCCTGCCTATTTCTGCAACTCCAAAATTTTGCCTTTTACTTAACACCCCACCCAACCCACAAATTCTTCTTCTTTGCCGGCTTCTAAGAATTACCTTGTGGGAAAAAGCCTTCCCAGAAATGAGGTAAGGTGTTTTCTTTGCCTTCTCCACTTGTCCCTAACACATACCGTCTATTCCCCTGGATTTTGATACAATCAAAATACCAGTGACACTCAACTTTTAGTTACCACTACGACAGACCTCTGATGAGAATCAGTCATAAGTAAACTTTCAGCCCAGCATCTCAATTTCCAAGCAAATAAGATGTCTCAAACTTAAGGAGCACAAAATTGGGTTTTTGTTTTCCTACAAAAAGCTATTGCTTCATCAATAGTAATTATCCAACAAATATGGCTAAAAAGTCCTGACATACAAAAAATAAAAAATGGATTGTACAGACATATACACACAAGTGATCTTGTCTCTACCATAAAAACATGAGTTATGAAATTCTCTTCTCCTAGTCTCTGACCGCCTAAAACCAAGGACCAGTCTATTTCTTGAAACCTGGTAGCCCTCAACATGTATTAGTACACATGTCCTCCTGCAAGCTTTGTTCAGTATCTCAAGTAATCTTCATTAAAAACTCTATGAGACAATGATATTCACTTCTTAGATAATGGTATGAAACTCAGAGGGGTCATAGTCCAAAAGGTCATACTCCAGATCATAAAGATCATGCATCATTTATGATATATAGCATTTCAATTAAAGATAAATACAAATTGGATTAAATAGTAAGGAAATATATTAGCTTCTACCATAAGACATCCAGTCATGGTTCAAGTTCAGAGTTCACTGATTTTATAGCTCAACAGTGTCACAAAGAACCTCAACTTTCTTTTCCTCTCTCTCTACTGCATGCATGCTCCCCATTTTCACCCTATACCTGGGTCCTCTTGAGGTAGAAACCTTTGGGTTTCATCTTCTAGTAGGGAGTACTAGATTGGCGATGGTTCTCTTTTCCCTACCTCCTCCAACTCTCTCCTTTCCTCACTGGCCAGGAGTGAATCATATGTTGGCTTTGAAACACACTTAGCCTCACGCCAGCTAACTCTCAGCTAAGATCAACCCCTAAATGCCACTGCTGTTGCTCAACAAAGCAGGACGACAGAATGCACACTGGGGAACCCACCAGAAAGCCTGATGCAAAGCTAACATGGCTACAAAAACGTTTGGAGTTCGAGGGTAGTTAGTGCTAATACAAATCAACTTCTCCAAAGACCAGCCTACTGACAGTGACTATTCAATTAAAAGTATTAACATTGTGATTATCTTCAAAAAGATGAGTGTCTGTAGGGAGACAGGGAATTGACATGGGATGGGTGAGATAATAAAGAAAGGAAGAATATGCAGCATTGCTCTTTTTCTGAAGCACTATCCCCTGCTGCTTCCTGCCTTCAAACCCTAGCCATGCCCCTGTGGCACTGGCTGCTTCCACCACCTCCTCCTATTCTCACCACATAGGACTCCCCTGCTCCCTCTCCCTCTGCTCACACCCATCCCTCCTTCAAGAGAAATGTTCCAGGCCACCTGTGTATCACTTTGCATTTCCACCAGCAATGGTCTTACTTTCCAATATGGACCAAAGTACGTTTTTCCTTCTTGCACATTGGGAAAAAAAAAAAAAAAAAAAACTGATGACACCTTCAAAATTGCATCTTCAAACAATCCTTGAAGACAATTATATTTGCAGTAAAATTTTGCCCTATTACATCTTTTTAAAGAGCAAGGTTTATAAAATCCATTTGGGGGTTTAATGCATCATTTTGAAGAACTGGATGGTAAGGAATTCAAATTAAATAGAAGTGACAGTGGAGGCACTTCAGGTAAAGGCCCCACACTGCCTCTGTGTCACTTCAATAAATGGAAGTCTGTCGGGCACAGGACTGGCTGGGAAGACCAGGGACATGAGAAGATCTTAATAAGAGCGCCTGAGCCCATGAAATTGAGTAAATAACTTCAGGAAAAACAAGAAAGGGTAGTCATGAGGACAGAGAAGAGAAAGCAAATCGGGTCACCTTTTACATGATGAGCAAAGAGATGAAGGTCACACCTGATAAGAATACACAGGAAAGGTGCTTGCTTTCTAAATATTGGGGACATGAAATTTCAGCAAAAACAAAGCACAGCCTCTCAGAAATAGCTTTAAATAAATAAGTCTAAGTATAAAAACCTAACTCAATGGCTGGCTTTGCAGTCAAGGCTGGGGAGGATTAAAATATTTGTGTGATGAATAAGGCTATGTGTGCAGAAAGTCAAAACCAGTATTCTGCCTCCTCTTGATAGATACTGTACATTTCAAACACAAGTATTTACTAGGAGAAAAAGGTTTTCTTCTGACTTAAGGCATGATGGTATAGAAACTTCTGGTTCATTCTGCACCCTAACACATTTCTTAAGTGCTTATCGTGACAATTCCCAGGCCAGTGAGTGGAGACGACAAAATAAGAGACAGACTTGCTCCAAGAGTGCCTGGCTACAGCGGCAAAGGCAGACACATCAGCTAGGTGGATGCTTCCAAAACCTCTTTTTTTTTTTAACAGTAATGGAGCCTGAACTCAAGGACTTCACACTGAGTTTCTATTTTCTTTCTTTTTTTTCTTTTTAATTTTGAAACATGGTCTCAATAAGTGGCTAAGCTACTCAAGCTGAACTCAAACTTGAGATCCTTCCTCCCCAGCCTCCCAGAGTGCTAGGGTTAGAGGTCTGAATCACTATGCCTAGCTCACTCCCAACACTTTTTGAGGATGATGAAACCCCTGGGGAGGAGAGTGTGCATGCAGCGGTACAGCTGAAGGATCCTTCTCTGACAGCTGCAGACACCTGGACAGCTTTCTGAAGGTGAAGTCTAAGCTGACATGTACAGTGTGTGTTAGCTACACAAAGAGGAAGAGGCACAAGTGGGGTATGTGGACCTTTCTAGGAGGAGAGACCAGCATGAACAGATGTGAAGAGCACAGGAGACTCTGATTTGGTGGGGAGGGATGGCAGAGAAGTTATGGAGAAGAAGAGCAGAAGGTACTGGTAAGCCAAAAGATCAAAGCAGCTCAAATGTCCATGGATGGATGAATGGTAAATGTGACAAATACATTAAGTGAAGTACTCTTCAGTCCTACACAGGAAGGACATCTTGCTGTGCACAATACACATGAAATTGAAGATATACGCTAAGTGAAATGAGCCAGACACCAAAGGACAAACTTGTATTACTCCACTTTGATGAGCAGCCAAATTCACAGACACAGAAAGTAGAACAGTGGATACCCCAGGGCTCGCAGAGAGGAAATGGTGAGCTCCTGGGAGTTACACGTGTCCCATTAGTTTGGGACAGTGAACACATTTCGATGACGGGTAACTGTGATGGTTATACAATATAACTTGTGCTAAATGGTACTGGATTGTACTCTTCAAAGTGGATGAAACAATCTTTCATGTATTTTTATCACAATAAAAAGATAAAACTTAAAAACGAAACCCCACTTCCTCTTATTTTAAGCCTTTACACGGTCCCAAGTGAAAGCAGAAATTCTTAAGGTAATTTTATTAAAAAGTGGCTGAGTTTCATCAATACTCTCATTGTGATTTCCAGCTAGAGCACATTACTTTGTTGCTATTGATTCCTATTACATACGAAGTAAAGAATAATAATGAAAGTAAAAAAGCAGATTCTTCCAGAATTCTCATGGAAAGGAAATTTTCTCCCAAAGCCCCAAGGCTGATGAGCAGAAGACAGTCTGACCCACCCAGGGCCGATTCCAGGGGGTTCTGCACTGATGTGATATAGGTTACAGAAACAGACCC